TAATATCCTCATAAAAACCCACAAGTTAGTAGTTCTAATTTGCTAGGTAGAAAGCACCAAAAAGAGCCACAAACATGTAATTTCATCAATAATAGCTAATATTTGAATTTCTAGTCAAACTAACAAACAAATAAATACTCAATTCTAGTTATTTTTCACTCATAACTACTATTGAAAATTAGGTAAAACCGTTTTTCTACTTTTAGTCACAATTTTAAACTATACAAAGTAACATTCCAAGGCTATTCTCATAAACTAGTTAGCAACTTAGCATAGAAGATTCCTGAACTTTAGTAATCCTCAATTTTGCAACTTTATTTGGCAGAACGACCTCCACCAATAGGTTACTTTATATGGAAGCATAGAGAATAACGACGTTATATTTCAGGATAATAGATTAAATCGAATTTCGGACTAAGAATAAATTTTAATTTAAAGAGTACATCTAATACCTTTTAGAATTTTCGATTAGATAAGATGATCAAACAAGCAAAACACATGTAATTTGGTAATCAAACTAGCTAGGAACTAACAAGTTGTGATCAAATTCCCGTTCTCCCTCCAATTAGAATCAGTATCACAAACCTCTTATTAGCCAACTTTTAAGGTTATGTACAAGTTTTTTGAATTTATGTTTACATAGTGTAATATAAGATTGACAAGTTTATAAGATTATTTGATATAGATAAAAATAAAAATAAAAATTAATACAATAAGAACACTTTAAAATGTTATGCATAGAGGTCATTAATATTAATGGCAAGGCATGACTTGAAATATTTGCACACTTAACCATCTGATATTCTCTATTACCATTGGAGATCCTTCAAAACCCTTCCCCTCTCCATTTAATTTAAATATCTTAATTAATAAAAAATAATAATAATAAAAAATAAAAACTTATGGTTGATAATTAGTAATTACTCCACATTTGTCTTGTTCAAAATAGTTAATAGTAGCATAGTGCCATAGTAGGGTGTAGTAGATATGAGTCAATATCAAGAACTTCAGTTTTGACATTAATTATACTTAATTAATCTAATGTGATTAGGTTCTACATCTCTCACTAATCAGGAAAATAAAATTACCTCAATATCTAATATTGACAAAGCAAAGAATTCAGCTTAACAAATCCTTATAGTGATCTAGTCATGCCTTTGAGCTCGAATCTTTGTTTTCCATGCACATTAATCACTTAATCACTCATCTTTAACTGATATCATCACATGTCATATGTACGTATATACTTATAAATTTTAGAGGAATTTATGTAGTCACTAACTCAAAGTATATATCAAAGTAGGAGAAAATAAACTTATTATTGACAACATAAGGTCCTTTTAGGGATCTACTACGTATATGCCTTTTTTGTTCTTATGGGCAATTAAGAATGGGAATTGCATTTTTATCAATTCCAAAGATTTATTAGTAATTTATCGTAGGATAAGGGGGCCAAATAAGATACTATGTAACTTTTCAAGTAAGTGATGAAAGACAGAGAAATATCAAAGTATTTATTTTCTTCATATAACTCTACCTTTTTGTGAAGACAAAATCTTGTATGAGACGGTCTCATAATATATGATCGTAGGGAGGAAATGACCTCTTACGAATACCATATTTAAAGACAACTTTCAATACCTCTTATCATCTCATCAGTAGAACAAGAAGCAATCTAAAGTTGGGTGCACCTATTATCAACCAAAGGAAAACGCTTTACTATTTACTTATGTTAGCAATGTACGAGTGTACCACCTAGAAGTGTTTGATGCACGCTCGCACCAAAATTATTGACTAAAGCCGTATATGGGCTTTGCTAAACAATGGGCTGGTAAGTGGGCCTACTCATCATTATTTTATTTCCGTAATGCAATGTATCCCATAAATTCATAATTATATTCCTTTTCAACTTCTTTTAGTTTTGGCTTCACAACATTATTTCGTTTGTTTGTGTTTTTGTTTTGTCATTTTTTATGTAAAGCTAAAACGCGTTATCAATGCAGGTGTAATTCAAACTGTATCCAATTAATAATCCTAAAATTTGATTCTAAGCTAATAAAGTTAGTCAAGTACTAGGATCCATAATGAGCTAAATGTAGGCAAAAGAACAAAAAATTCTCTTGGTTAATCCTAATTCTAGAGGTAAGTACTTTATGTTAAAATTTATAATCTTGAGCATTACATGAGTTTACATTTAATAATTTACAAAAATTATCTAAAAAGAAACACAAAAAAACAATAATGTGGACAAAATTTATCTCGTCTCGGGTTTAAACCATTGTTGTTAATTTTTGTTAAATGCTTAGATCCTATGGAAACAAGGAGGATCTTCTACATTAAGATTTGTTGCCAAAAGTTAAGTACCCGAGTATTTATTATATTAGTTAGAGGTTGAATGTTTAGATCTTGACCCCGTCTATTATTTTGAAAGTGGAGACTAGTGAGTGGAACAAATGAATTAGGGCCTGTTTTTCATTTATTGAAAACAACTATATTGAACTGATTGAGGCTGAATTGAATTGAACTGAACTGAATAGAGCTAAAATGATTTGTTTATGAGAGAAGGTAATTAAGAACTAAGCTATACTGAACTGATTGGAGCTGAATTGAAGTGAACTGAACTAAATTGAATTGAATTAAAATTAAGCTGAAAAGAATAGACCCTTAGTCATTTAACTAAAAAGTAAATGTCGGTAATTTACGGGAAATGGAGTAGATAGCAGATCTTTAATCTCAAGTATTCATGGGGTGCATGTGTAAAAAGAAAGATTGTCCTAAGCACTATGATATTGAATGATCATGAAAAAGGAATTCATAATAATTCTGGATCTTTTACCAAAACGGCTACTTTGACAAAAGTATTTATCAAAACGGCTAATTATAAAATTTAATTCCCAAACTAGCTAATTTATTAACTTTTTTTTTAAAGATCCCTAAATTTATTAACTTGGAAGGAATTTATCTACTTTTTTTTTTTGGAACCGGTTTGGTTTACTTTATTATTATTTTTTTAAAAAATTTTGTTTTTTTGGTTTTGTTTTTATTTCCTTATAGATTTTTTTAAGTTGGAAAATTTAAGGAATAACATATACGCAAGAGAAGAGGTAGGGAACTAGTTTTTCTGCATTCAGTGTAATGCATCAAATATGTGTGTTAAAACGTTGATCGACATTGCTCTTGGTAGGGTACTGTGAAATAAATATTTTGTTTGCTGGTTTCAAAAAAAAAAAAACTTCGTATTTATGTTTCAGAGTCTCAAAAACTACGAAAAACGTAAACAGTTGCAAACTCGCAGAACCCTAATTTCGATAAAAATGAATAAATAAATAATTAAAAGTCCTAATTTTTCATCTTGATTATACCTATCACAAAAATTTGGAATTTCAAGTTATATTGTTCTATCAAGACTACCGCAAATTTATACGACGATAAGGGATTTTAAGGTATTGTTCATCCTTTTCATGTCTATGAATTGTATACTCTTTGTTAATGTCGACTAATATGAATATTTTGAGTGGTAGTTTATTTTGTGCAATTTTTTAAAAAATTGAGAATAATTGCTGCATACGTATTATGTGATTGTTATTGTTCAAATTAATGAGTTATTTTAAATTATGGCATTAAAATTTAAATAAAACCAAAAAAAAAAAAATTCTTTTAAAATAAAAAAAACATAAAGTGACCGGTTCAAAGGAAAATATAAAATTATGGTATCCTTTCAAATCAATAAATTTAGCTAGTTTGGGAATTAAATTACATAATTAGCCGTTTTGGTAAATATTTTTGTCAAATTAGCCATTTTGGTAAAAGATCCAATAATTCTCTCCAAATTGATTGGGGGATTCAAAACCCGAGCAAGATTTGCTTAATTATGAATTTATGATATACTTATCTTGATTAAGTGCTTATTAAAGCTTATGCAAGAAACGATTGCCCATTATAATTGCAACTTTAAAAAATATTCTTCAAATCAGAATATATATATTTTTTGTTTTTTCTTTCATTATGTTTGTTTTTCCTTTGCCGTTATTCCCTACTTCCATTGGGAATCGATATACATAGTACATATAATTGAGTATAATTTTTTAATTTTTTTATTATTATTATTTTTTTTATAATAATAAGAAAAAAGTAAACATTAGGAAACCCTCCTCACATGGGGGAATTCCTAATACGATATAATTGAGTATAATAATTATAGAGAACCAAGTCATGCCGGATACATATTTATAAACAATACGATGTATTAAATATTTAAATTGACATAGGTAGCATTGTCATGAAATGCATTTTAAAAGAGAAGCTGGGATGGCATACTACGGAGTAATTAAAAAAAAAAACCTTAACATGCCATTTCTCTATCCACCCGTGTCGGTGTGTAGGGTTCGATTCTCATTAACTCCTAAAAAGCTCAACACATAGCATATCATCCTAATGTAATCTTAAAATATGTAAATGTTCACATTATATCGAATTAAGTTGTTCACTTAATTTCAATGGCAGAGTTTATTATCTTAGTATAGTACTTAGTTGCTAGAATAGGAAAGCGTCACAATCTGTGGTAGTTTTTTTTTTTTTTTTTTTTTTTTTTACAAAAGCCACTCAATTTCATGCTGTTGGTGATGTTACAGTTCAATTTATTGTCGGGGACACCGGCAATTGGTGCTTGTAGCAGTAACCGTGTTGTGATGATTATTGGTCGGTAGATGGAGCAACTTTTTGAGTTTTTTCTCCCCCCTTTATTACTTTTCATTCTCATTGAATTTCTGAGTAATGTCAACGATTCAAAACAGTTACCTGAGCTGAAACAATTTATGAACAGACCCCATAAACAACTTGGTTACCGGAGTCCACAGTCCAGTTAGTTCGAATTCAGTGGATAGCGGTACGTGTCATTTTGAGCCAACCCGTCTACCATGTATCAAATAATTGTACGGGACATATTTTGCTTCGGGTTTGGTAAATTTTCCCAAGCCTGGTGTCAAACCAACAAAATGCAATAGAATGAAAGCTCTGCTGCTATGATAAGGGGAATCTGTGATCAAAATTATTGCCGACAAAAAATAACAAATGCATCAATCACTATATCCCGTCAATAGATGGCTATGAAGTTGACAGGCGAAGTCTATTTCCTCTAATTACTGCCAAGATTATGATGGAGGCTCTCTTTAGACAGAACAAGTACGGAACTTGCTGGTGCATTTCCATTGTTTCAAAACAAGCTATCTAGCAACAGAACAAGGACTTTGCCATGTTGATATATCCGTTATAAGATCTCGAAATTGATCTATCAGATGTTTGAGGTGCTTATTCTTATTAGCCAGATCCTGCAATTACAAAAGTAGAAAATAAATATAGGTTTTTCTTCTTCCAAACCAGCACAATCATCTGCAAACCAAAATAGCTAAAAAGGACTCACTCTTAAACAAATCCCATCCTCCCATCCCATCAGCCACATTAGTCACTAGCCATTGATTAACAATCACGAGGACCGATTGTGCTATTTTAACACTATTCTTTACTACACCACAATAAACTCTGTGACCTCACACAAGCACTCAACATCCATGCATCCATTGAAATGGAAATCATTCACAAGAGATTGACTTGTAACAATAATTTTTTTCCAAAATAAAAACAAAAGTAATTTAGCTTTAACATTACCGTCTTTAAATTAGATACTTGCTCTTCTAACTTCCCGATTTCAGCCTCATCTTCAACTGAGGCAGAATCATCCATTTCTTCCTGAACAAAAGGAAAACAATTAAACAAATCAGACACCTGCAGACAGACGGCAGCAGTAACCCTATTGTTTGAAAATCCAATAATTGATTTTTGATTGAAGGGGCAAAATATTAAGCAAACAAGAATAAATGATAACTACGATCGACATCAAAGTCAACCCCTATGAGCTATGGCCTACAAAGTAACTCCTAACAACAGAATCACTCCCCTCATCATGTGAAGGATAATGCATCATTTTATTTTTATAGCCACCAAAGAAAATATTTAACTTGCATTATTTTCTGCTTTAACAAACCAACCGAAGACATTTTGAAAACGTGATTACCTGGGATTGATACTACTTTCATCTAAACCTTTGTCCAGTACAAATAGAGTTTTAAACTCGATTCCATTTATAGCTCTCACATTCTGAAAATACTTGATACAAAATTCAGAATCCTAAGATTCTATTAAACAATTGTCATTCACTTTTCAGAATAAACAATGTAAGAAAAAAACTTCAATCATCAGCTAGGGGGTGGTGCACATCACATTAATGGAAAAACTAACCGCCAAATTCTATAGATGAATAGATACTTGCAATAAAAGAGGAAATTACCTTGTTTCCCTGAGGTAAGGCATTGAGAACAGCACGAAGAGAAGCAACAGAGGACTTATAACGAAGACGAGATTCTTCAAGAGCACCACCACCCATATCGAAGTGGTGGGCTGAATCTAATGAAACATCACCATTTGAACCCTCACTATGCCCATTAGCACTGATAGTAGCGGCAGTACTAGTATCAGGAATGGCAACAGGAGAAGAGGTAGTTGTAGACCACAAGGTTGGGTTGCAAAGCTCATCATTCATTGCAGACAATATCTGAAATGCTGCCTCAACTGTCTCTTCTAGATGCTTCTGACCTTCTGATGCAAGCTCCTTTGCTGATTTCATGGTTTCATCGCTCATTACCTGGTCTTCCATTGTTGTACTGTTGATAACTTCAGAGATAAGACAAACCCTATCAAGCTCTGTAAATTCCCTAATTGCCTAATATGCTGTTTACCTTTTATCAATTATCACAAGGGAAGAGCACAATAACCATGGATTCATTGAGGCCACCCCAATTAATTTCAGTGATACTTGTTTTATCACGGAGAGCAAAGGTTTTGCCTATTTTTGCCTCTCAGATTTGTTTATCACAAAGATAAACTTGTATTTTCTCAGATTCATGAATAAATATCTTAAAATTACAAGCTTTAAAACGTTCAAGTTAACGCCTTAGTATTTCTCCAACATGACCATTTTTTTTGTTTTGACAAATTCAGTCCCAATTCCCACACATTAATCCCATGAACCACACACATCAGATGTACTGCACATATATCAAGATTATTAACAACAGTTTCAAAAGAATGCAGCAGCATTAGCCCTAATTCAATTAAAGATATATCGTACAGAGTACATTATATGGAGTAACTAGCAACAAAATCGTCAAATTAGCCCCTTAGTTGGCCTCTAAAGCAATAGACTCTTGATAAAATGAGTAAATTATCTCATGAATTACCAAGAATCCTCACCAAAACCTCATACAGCAACTTCAGATTCCTTACAATGACATGAACACTGGCAATTAATGGACATTTGGTAGGACCAAAGCAGAATGAAATCGCGGTTTACAAGTTATAAACTTATTATACTCTTGATTTGTCTTGGAAATGAAACAGCCCCAAACATAATAGCTCAATGCAATCTCAGCAGCATCAAGTATGTCAACAACTCATAAGAGCCCCCAAAACTAAATACACCACTATACTACACTAAAACACACCCAATTCTCTAATTTACTGGACGAAAAAGTGCATATGAAGAAAATAGATGTAATTGGAAAAATAGAAGAGAAATTACTACTCCACCAAATTAACTAGGTTACGCCCTAATCTTTAATTAGACAAAAATTCAACATTTTCTACACATTTGCAATTCCATTGAGCATTAAAACTAATTAGAAATTGAGTAAATCACGTACCGTAAAGACGAGTAAGAGATCTTTGAAAGCTTCAGCGTCCGATTAGTAGTAGCGGCTAATTGAAAGAACTAAAGTGCAACCATCATCCCTTCAAATAAGGGATCTGGTCTTGAGAGTTCCAGACCGCAGAATACAGCTCAACACCCGCCGCCTGCTCTCTCTCTCTCCTTCGGATGCCGCCGTTCGGTGTTACTGTTGTTGCTGCGGTTGTTCTGCTTTCTCCAATTCTTCGTTTTTTTTCCCTTTTTTTTAAAGACTCGTTTTACTTGTACAGTACTTGAGACCCAATTTAACTTCTGGCTTATATGATTTAATTGTACAGTATAGCCCACCACTTCACTTCACTAGGCTAACTGGCTAAAGACTTAAACTAACTGGCTTTAATTGTACAGTATAGCCCACCACCATTATATGGTTTAATTGGATCTCAATCGACTCAAAACTGGTTAGCCAGTTAGTTTAAGTTTAATCTTATATACTCTGTAAGCTATGATCGGTTCAATTCACTCTGTACTTCAGAAAATAGATCTTGTTTGGCAATTAATTGTTTGCGCCTTTTTTTTAGCTAATTTAACTTCGTTCTTTAGTGTTATTAAATTTTACCAAATTTAACTAGGTTTTTTTTATTTTTTGATAAATATAAGAAACACCTACTCAATTTTTTTTTTCAAAGAGCTTGCTCTTGCTCTTCTTACCAAAATCTTACCCGCTTAAACATCAGTTCATGTAGTAAAAAAAAATCAAACAGATTAGAAGTGCAATGAGGAATGGATTGAAGAGCGGCCAAAATGGTACACGTAGGCTTCACTTAAGCATGCAACAAACCATGTGTCACATACTCACATACATATCATGATCAAATCAACCGCATACATGCTTTATCCTTGACTATCTTTCATTCCTTTCATTACAAAATATATCAAACGGCCGTGAAAAAAGGTCATACACAACACGGTCGTGTGAGTTTGGAGAGAAAGACATTAAAGATGTGGAAAAGGTGGATTATTGGAGGGAATCAGGGGCTGAAGAGATTAGCAATAGGGCAAGTACACAAAGTAAGAGGATACTCTACTAAAAGGGACGATTTTCCTACACTTGAAGGCCACCCTGCTGCCCAAACTCATGCAGAGGAAGCCGCAACATCACAAAGGAGAGTGCAGCAACACGCAACGGCAACAACGACAACGACGACTCAGGCTCAACCGCTGACAAAAGAGTTCCAAATATACCGTTGGAACCCTGACTTGCCCAACCAAAAACCCTTTCTTCAGTCTTTCTTCGTCGACCTCTCTACCTGTGGCCCCATGGTACATACATTTTTGTATTCGCAACTCTAATAGTCATATTTCAAACGAACATTATAATAATCTGACTTAATTTGTAAGAATGTTATACTAATTATTTATCTAGCATTGAGCTAATGTGGATACTGGATAGGTATTGGATGCATTGCAAAAGATAAAGGCAGAGGATGACTCAAGTTTGAGCTATAGAAGATCATGCAGGGAAGGAATTTGTGGGTCCTGTTCTATGAATATTGATGGCCTTAACACTGTGGCTTGCCTTAAGCCCATTGATTCCGATATTACTAAGCCTACCACAATCACTCCCCTTCCTCATATGTTCGTTATCAAGGATCTCGTCGTCGATCTCACCAATTTCTATAATCAATACAAGTATATATATTATTAACACATTCCGATTTTTTGTACAAGTACAATGTTCTTGATGATCTTAATAACTAGTTAAACACATGAAATTGTGTAGGTCGATTGAGCCGTGGCTAAAGACGAAGAAGGGAGCGGAGGATGGGCGTGAACATAGGCAATCGCCTAAAGATAGGAAGAAGCTTGATGGATTGTATGAGTGCATATTGTGTGCATGTTGCACCGCTGCATGCCCTGCATATTGGTGGAATCCAGAGAAGTACTTGGGTCCAGCAGCTTTGATTAATGCATATCGATGGATTTCGGACACTCGAGACGATTATACCAAGGAGAGATTACAGGCTATAACAGATGATGATATGAAATTGTACAGCTGCAGGATTATCAAGAATTGCACTGCAGCATGTCCTAAGAGCTTAGATCCTGCTTCTGCCATTGACAAAATGAAGATGATGGATAGGTTTTCTAACTATGACGAAAATAAGTAGCAAAATTATGTATGTCCATTTGCTATTGTACCATCTTTCTCTAAGGCTCTAAGGTACTCTCTCTAAGTTTAGCCGTTCGTTTAGAAATCATCTAGTTTTTTCTTGCAATTGTAATTAAATTGGTAATTGGTAAGATAGAGTTCGACTGTACAATGTTGTTTACCATACAATCATGAAAGGTACATAATCAAATGACTTGAATTGAGATCAATGACTAAATGACTTGGGGTGCAAGGGTAAAATAATTTTGTAGGACGGAGAAATAATCAAATGAAAGGGACAGATCTAGTAGGTATCATACATTTTGTAATGTAATTTTTTTTTATTATTATTCCATAAGTTATCAGAAGCTTTTAAAGCTAAAATTTCATTAGAAATGCAACAAGAATGATAAATAATGTACTGGAGTACTCCGTCGTAAGCTAATGAAATTATTAAATTATTAAATTATTAAAACACACGTCGTTATCTTATCTGAACTTTAAGGTGTCGTTTGGTTGACAAAGAAAAATATGAGAAGTTGAAATTTCTAGGGGAAGTAGGATTTTTCATGAATTTTCACTTCCTACAAATTAGAGGTATTTAATTACCTAAGAAGACATGAATAAGTGGAACTTTTCATGAAAATTTTCACTTTTCATAATTAATGGAAATATAAGGTGTTTCTGAAAACAGAATGCTCCAGAGAGTCTTAGGGTAGTAAGGTATCAAGATGTCCTAGAGCTTGTGTCTGATTGTCCAAGTGTCCTTCTGCTCCGCCTAGCAAAGGTATGTCTGAGGGCTCTGCCTTGATGTCCGAGAGCTCAGCCTGCAAAATAGAGAAGGTTAGCTGCCTCGGGGTGTGACCCGGGAAAGCCCCTCCGATGCTTAAATCAGCAATTGTAGAGAGAGAAAGTAGAGAGAGTGTACTTAGAGAGAGAATTAAAAAAAAAAAACCTATCATTAATAAATGATGAGCTATTTATAGATGTACTTTTCTGGTGGCAAAATTTATATTTGAGTGGACAGATTAAGGGTAAATCTGCACTTTGTGATGACCAATGATGGGTTGGATCATGGAGGGGTATTTTCGTCATTTTAGGTAAATTGGGCTTAGGACATGGACGAGGCCTAAATATTAGGTTTTTTTTTTAAACAAAGCTACGAATTATCATGAGATCAATTTCCGCCAAAGTTGTCAAGCTTTGAGGGAAAAGACCCAGAGAAACACGTTCATGGGAAGTTAATTTCTTAAATATAAGGTGTTGCTTGGTTGATGTAGGAATTTAATTCCCATAGGAATTTATAATTCATATGAAGATAATTTGTTTAAATGTGTTTGGTTGGTAATAAAGGAAATTGAAATTTTCATTAATTTTGGTTTACCTGGGGGTAGGTACTTTATTTTCCATGTTTTGTAAGAAGTTCCACTTCTCTTATTTTAACCTTTTTTGTGTCAACCAAACAAGTACTCATTTTATCAATTTTCATTAATTTTCAATTCCTCCATTTTACAATGTCAACCAAACAAACCCTAAATCTCTAAGGAATTTACATTTACTACATTCAACCAAACGAGCCATACCCGCAACTAAATGAAAACAATGGGAGAAATTTTAAAGTGCAATCCTAGAGGGGGTTATTATCAAATTGATAAAAAGAAATTGCCGCCAAATCATGAGGTGACTCCTTTCTCAAGAAAAATCCAACAAAATACGCCTAAATTGCCAGTTTCTTCAACACAGCAAACAAGTGAGCCAACTGAAACGAAGCTTAGCGTATTGAGCACTCCGATTAGCTGCCAACAATTTTTCCATGAAAATTCCAATTTCTTCTCATTTTCTTCTGTAAAACCCTATTCAATCGATTCAAAATTTCGTGCGACTAGTTCGTTGATCAATGTTTAGGTCAGCATTTCTCTCTATTCGAGGACGCTCTAAGCCGGCGGTCAATCAACTTCAACGGTTTGTCATTGTTATATCTTTCTCCTTTTGTTTTTTTCAGTTCAGTTTTTGATTTAAATTCTTAATTAATTATGATAATATGCAGCATTCTTCTTCAATTTCGTAATCGAATTAATATTTTTAGTTTTTTTTTTATTTTTTTATTTTTTATGGAGAGTTCTTTGATATTAGGGTTGAGTTACTGATGCTTATTTACATGCTTTTATGCTACAATTTAAGGTAATTTTGTGTAAATTGGGTTCAGAATTAGGGTTTATGATTGATTGAAGTTTCTAAGAAAGTAATTCGTTGATTTTCTTAATTCGGAAAGCCGATTCCACGAGTTTGGTCAATATTGTAGAGGTTTTGATATTGTTGTTGATTATTCCATTTTTTCTGTCACTCGGAATTTGTTGTTTAAGTGTTGAGGTAATTATTTTGCAATGGATTAGCTATGATCAATTAGCATGTAGTAAGAAGTAATCGGCCTAATATTGCGGTTTTAAAAATAGCTGGAATCATACTATGATGTAGGAGTAAATAATTTGAAACGTTGTGCTTGTTTCTGTTGCTAATATAGGCCGAAGAAATAGATAATGAGCATAAATCGACCTTGTCTCAACTCGCTGAAGTGCATACATGTCCAAGTTGGGCTCCATCTTCAACCATATAGTTGCTATTTGCTAGTGGCTAGTGTAACTCACAAGGCCTATGTGTTCTAGGCTGTATCATCATTCAATGTGGGATGAACTCTCTCCATTGTACTTCCACGTGATCACTTAATGGTTTAGTTTTTAATTTTGACTGAAATATGGATATTTGGTGAGGTAGTCGACAAATCAACAACATTATGCTCATAATCTATTGTTATTATAAATCATAAGTTTACAATGGCCGTATATGTGAAAATAATTGTCTGTTACATGATCTCCCTTCAGGCCTTCAAGTAGACTAGAGGGAACCCTGTATTTTTTGGTATGTGAAAGAGATTGGAATATTTTCTCATCTTCGAGATTCAGGGGTCTTGCAGAGGAACGATTTAGGTGTCTTGCAGAGGACCTTGCTCTTTTTGGCATTAGTTAATATTGTGCCTGCAGAACAGCAGAAATCATCTACTCCGGTTTGGTTGTATACAGTTTAATTCCTCTATCAAGCCATTAATAAATTTTGCACTAGAAGCCCAACTTCAGGGTTTGGGTGTTTTCCTTATCTTCTGTCTTATTATGTCGATGTGCATCCTTTGCCATTGACAGACAATGAATGCACAGTCTAGATAATTCTATGACAAAGGATATGTATACCTTCTTATTGGTGATTTAAGTTGCAGATTTTTGTTAGAGTTTTTTTTTTTTCTTTTTTTTTTTCATACTAACAAGAAATTTGTGCATGACCAATTATTAATGTTCTACAAGGTTGTTAGGTGGTGCCTGCTCTGTTTCTAGACTAACTGCTCTCTATTTAGCGAATTTCGGCTTTATTAGTTGAAAACTTGAAATTACTCTATGTATCAAGGATATCTTTTGGTCCAGGCATCAGAAATTTTAATTTTTCCCTTCAATATAGTGCAAACTCATGAGAGCTCATCAATATCAAACGACATGTCCTGTATCTGTGGCCTTTCTGAATTTTACTAAAGCCACAGATTCTTCCTTGGTGTTGATATCATCTTAAGTTCTTATGTCTGATGCTGTGATTCAAAATATCAAAAGATTGAATTTAGCTATGTATTTAATGCTCTACTTCTGAATATATCTTCAATTAACTAGGATGTTTCCTTTTCCTCTTAGGCTCGATCCATCAAAAAGGTGCCTGTATCGTGGTTATGCTAAATCAACGAGACAGTCTTCTGAGAGATCAAATAGCCATGAATTACAGTCAGAGATGCATCCAAGTACCAAGACTACAAATTATAAGCCATTGATGGCTCTTGCTATTGTATGTATCTTAAACTCCAATGTCCAGTCCAAAACATGGGTTTTATTTTTCGCAGATCTTTATCATTCTAATTTTTTCTGTTAGATTGCTGTATTTTGCTGTCTTTTTTTTTTTTTTTTTTTCCTTTCTTTCTTTCTTTCTTTCTTTCTTGTGTTTAAAGGTTTCTCATCGTGCCCAATTAATTAAAATATTCAGCCTGTTGCTTTGCTTGGACTGGCTGGTTATGCTCGTTACAATGATGAGAGAAGAGCCATCCAAAAAGGTACATTGATTCACACACAAGCAATTGCTTTAATTGTATTTTATTTTGATGAATGCTCTATTTCTTTTATTTATGCTGGAAAACCTAATCACTCAATGTTTGAGGCCAGTAAATTTCATTGAATTATGCTTCTTTGATATCTTTGGGATATAGAGAATTCCTTTGTTAAATCCTTAGCCTGATAATGAAAGAGGATTTAAGCTTGTCCCTGGATTTCCTGGTCAATTTACTAGTACTTTGGATTTTTTCGACTTGAAAAATAATTTGTTGAATCTCACAAATTATGCTCCCTGCGTATCTTTTTTTTTTTTTTTTTTTTTCTCCTCTTTAATGGATGTAGCTTATTTATTTATGATTTTTTTATTACTTGTCATTTTTTAATTCTAATGGCTATTCAAAAAAAAAAAAAAATACTAATGCAGTTTTCCTTAGTGGAACCGAATTTGCTATTTAGAATGTAAAAGGAATATTGATGATCACATTTGGATACTGGTGCAATAATCGTCAAGTTTCTAATTTTTAACACATGTGCGGTCACCTAATTTTTTTTTTTTTTTTTTTTTTTGGGAAGTATCCTCTTTGAGAGTCTGCAAGTTAGCTCGGGTGGCTTAACACTTTTGATAATTGACCAATCCCTTTCTTCAAGCAATTAGTTATACAATCATGATAGCTGGAGCAGTGAAATTATATGTTTTTGATTGACATGTCTGTCATTTCCCTATTCCAATTCATCAGGTGAAGGATCAAGGGAAGGAATGACTGTCAAGGGGCCTATTATTGGTGGTCCTTTTGAATTGATTAATACTGATCACCAAATAGTTACTGAGCGGGATCTTCATGGACATTGGGTACTCTTATACTTTGGTTATACATCATCACCTGATATTGGGCCAGAGGAAGTGCAGAAAATGGCCAAGGCCATTGACATATTAGGTTCAATGCATTCACCTTAATTCATCAATACTTTTTTGTTCTTGATTGTGATAAATCTCTGACATTTTCTATTTGTTGTCACTAGAGTCAAAACATAATGTTAAGCTTCTACCTGTTTTTGTCACAATTGATCCCCAGCGTGACTCTCCTCAACAGCTAAAAAGGTATCTTGGAGGTGGGTTTCATATTCCATATAAGTGTCTTCATTCTTACTTATTAATTTATTATATTATGTGTTGAGAGCTGAAATTAACTTACAATTGATGCCTCATTTCGACTCCTTCAAGAATGCAGAGTTTGATCCAAGAATAGTGGGGTTAACTGGATCTGTTAACTCTATAAGGCAAATAGCACAAGAATATCGGATTTTTTTTAAGAAGGTTGAAGAGGACGGGAGTGACTATCTAATTGAATCATCCCATAATATGTAAACCTTATTCCCTCTGAAACCTTTTATTCCACTTTCTGTCCTGTGAGTTTGCATTTTCATGGATGTGATGGATTGTTTAGGTACTTGATAAGCCCAAATATGGAAATAATGAGATGTTTTGGGGTAGAGTATAATGCAACAGAGCTGGCAGATGCTATAGGCAAAGAGTTGAAGATGCAATCTGGATCTTCCTAGAGGTAAGAGAGATGCTTTTTTTTTTTTTTTTTTGGGGGGGGGGGGGGGGGTTATTTGGTTCATCTTTCATTGTAGCGTAAGCCTGCCCATCTCCAAAATTCTCTATTATATGCATTTTGTGGTATAGGTACATCCGTACATGTGTCTTGTAACTTTAAGATTCACGAAATTTTAGGTTATCCATTTCGATAAAAAGCAAGCAGCCTTGGCCCTCTATAAGTAATACGAAGTATAATGATACCATATGTTAAAACCTTTGTAGAAAGGTAATGATTTTGAATTGCTGTACTGTAGCCTTTTTTTTTTTTTTTTTTTTTTTTTTTTTTTTTTTTTTTTTTTTTTTTTTTTTTTTTTTTTTTAAGATCTTCATCCACTTGTTTGGCGCTGTCTGTACCTTGTCTGGATGATATGCAGCTAGCCAGCTACATTTATGAGTTGATAACTGTGTTTTGCTCTTAAGTACTGGAGGTTTTGACATCAAGTGTGTAAATTGCAATTGAAGTCTTGTAATTTTGTGATACTAAAGGTCTTAATTTAACCTTTGAGTTTACATGTGTGAGAGACATGTTATTTAACCTACTAGTATCTTGGATCAAGGAAGTGTTGGAGTATTTATTCTGGATTAGAAATTAGACTAAAGCTGAACTCAAAGCATAATTGAACCCACATGGCAAGTTTTATAATGAGAGATACATCACAATTATTAGGATTGTCTAGTATACAATGATATCTCTATCTTACGTTTGTTGTACAGGGTGGGAGGACGGAGTAAGGAGGTATATATTAGGTGGACGGGTGATTGAAGTCCTTAGGAACAGTCACAAATAACACATCACTTTTCTTTTCTTACCAACATATTCTATATGCAAAAGTATAAAACAAATAATGTCATCCGTTGCCTAGCTACTTACCATTCTTTGAGAGTGACTTTAGAGGGGGGGATGGGGAATCAAAGCTAGAGGACTATCCCAGCTTTCTATAGTTTTGGTTTAATTTATATACAAAATCATAATATTTATATAAGTTGCAACAATATGACTTTCACACTATTTATATGCAACAATTTGACCATATATGGTGATTTATGCTTAGTAAAATATATAGCAATGACAGATCTTTTTGGATTTGTCGAAGTACATATCTTTTTAGTATCAACTTTTAATGTTTGACCAAAAAATAATTTTTAATATATTAGTGGTTCAAGTCCTGCATTTGCGAAATTGTTGCAAGTCTTGCAACTAATGATGAACAAAGGAAGTATGAAAGATGAAAGCTTTATAGGCTAGTGATTTCATTATTTTCACAAGACTTGGAACTATGTCACATAAATATATGGCCTGGGAGCAGTAAAATGATTTGGTAGGTAGCAAGCAGATCTAGATTATGAAATCCAAAATATATAAAACAAAATACTACTTCTAATTACCAATTAATATAGAAATCGATTTCAGCAACATTTTCAATTTTCACTATAGATGACGTGAGGCAGGCTTGTTGGCTATCATGTCATTTTCATTTCTGTAGGAATGATTTTTAGAAAGCATAGCCAGCTATGGAAAAGTAGGGATCTTAAGGATGAAAGAACTCTAGGTCTGATACTATGATTCAATTACTTGAAGAATTTTACAGAGTTTTAGTAAAAAAACGTGTTTCCAGACTCGGAAAAATGCAACTCGTGTAAAGCAGGTTGACATTTTTTTATGATGACAGTTGAGGAGCTGCAAGTCATTTACTGGAATTACAAAAGTATAATAGCCTATAAACATCCGTAATTACTACGTCCCTACTATTGTTCTGTGGCATGAATCCTTTCTGGATATTAGGGTAGCAACTATATATGGCGAACTGCCGATGCAGTTGACCTTACCATAAAGGATGTTTGTTTGTGTGTCTCAATCATTTCCAGAATAAAGTTCTGGGGTATCTTGGTGTCGGAATGCAAGTTGGAACTTTTTTCAACACAATGTAGGTAACTAGATATCTCTGTACTTTCTTTAAAGTATGGATTATCTGCTTATGGTATATTGTTGACCTGCACGTTGTTGCAAAATAGTGTACGACCTGGTCCTGAATTAATTCCCATCATTATTGTGATACAAAGTCAATTTTGGTAAGATGTCTTTTCAGCCTAGGGATGGATGACAAAGGTATATAATGAGGAATAATTTATTTACTACTCTGTAGTATATAGTAATTAAGTATTATATATACCTTCCCTAATTGTATAATAATCTTCTTGTTATGTAATGATTATAAAGTATATAAACACATTCAATTTTTTTTATTTTTTTTTCTTTTAATCCACTTATTCCTTGTTGGTTTAGGATGCAAAGGTCCCATTTCTGATGGAATCAAGTATTTTGGATATCTCAGGCTCGTAGTTAGGTGGGAAGATACACGACGCCAAATTACCTTCTGATTTTTAGCTTCTTGGAAACTTCTCAGATTGGACCTACTTTGGAGGACATGGCTGAGTCTTATGGATTGTGTGTTCCTGTTATTTGGATTTTAAGACTGATTGTTACCCAAGCTGGCATTTTTTATTTTGCCATTTCATTAACGTAGGTTGAGCATTGAATAAGTAGCCTAAGACAAATCAAATGTGATTTGATTTGCTTTAATATTATAGAGAACTTCCCTTTACGTCATTGACTCAATTGTAGAGTTTTTTAATCCTCGTGGTTTTACCAATTTTTGTGTAATCACTCACTTGACTAGTCTCTAGTCTTTATCAAATGGAGTAATGTTTAATTGCAAATGAAATGATTGATGTTGTCAAATACAAATGATTATCTTATCATGAAAATTTAAATTTAGACATTTCTAATCGTCAGAGTTCTTAGAAGTAGAGGCGATTGTAGGTTGAATTGATGCAATGTGATTCGGTATTTAAACTATAGGCTTGTTTTGATAGCATGAGTAGCATCAGGTTTGCCCCATTGTGTTTGAACCAATCTCCTACCCAAGTTGAGTTCAGCGAGCTAGGCTGATTTATTTTCAGGCTTGTTAAAGTGACATACAAAGTACTTTATTTCTTTTTTTTTTTTTAAAAAAAAAGCTTGGTGAGGTTTCCATCCAAGTGAGCCAATCCCACTTTTGGGATTAAGACTTTGATTGATTGATTGAGATTTCCATCCAAGTGAGCCAACATTTTGTTGCCGATTGTTGATAGTTTAAACTTACATAATATTAGTCGTGTATTTTATACGCTTCACCTTGACAATGTTGGAATGTACCTTTCTTAAGGTGCAACATTTATATCTTGCAAATATGGAGTAATTTTTTAGTATAGGTGTTTTCTTACCTTATGCCATATACAACTAAAGAGAATTATTCTCGTGAGCAAATGATGAAAATGGTAAGAAATCATATTGCACTAATTGCACAGATACTCTCCATAGTGTGAAGGTTTCTGGGTGTTGTTATTTGTCGCTCCCATTTTACCGGGTAACGCTCCCTTTTTTTCTTGAAATTCCAATTTTACCCCTAATATATAAATACGGTTTTTTCCTTCCCGACCAACATTTCTCACTTCTTTACTTCTCTCTCTAACTCTCTAAAACAATTTTTTTTAAAAAAAAAAAATTCAAAAATTGTTCTTCATTTTTTAAAAAAACAACAATCATCATAAACACAAAAGAAAATGGGTGATTCGAGGCGGATTAGGCTGAGATTCGGAGGGAGGACCTTCGGCGGCGCTGGTGGTGGCGGCGGCGGCGATGGTGGAGACGAGGTATTTTTTATTTTTTTAATTTCGGATCTTTTGGAACTTCCGCCCAAAATTTCCGGAAGTTCCATGGAGGATCCGCCTGGAATTTCCGGATCTACAACACAAAATTAAAAGATAAATTATTAGTAAAGCTATAAGTATTAAGTTTACATATTTTTATATTAAATATAGAATTTTAGTATTACCTGGTTTTGGGTCACCATCACGTTGAGTGTGTTGACGATTCGCATGCTCGAAATAGCTACGATCACGCTTGGTGTTATTTCTTTTCGGTCGACCACGAGTGTTAAGGTTGATATGTGGTTCTTCAAGGTGTGAATGATCTGGATGTAGCTCCTCTTCAATGATTCGCGTTACATTTCGGCGTACGGCCGGGTCACTTTCCATGACTTCGTCGATTAGGGACCGAAAATGTGCAGCCTCCTCGGTCGAATCATTTACCACTTCAGGAATGTTAACACCATCACCAATAACCAGTATCTTCCAGAAAGAATGAATTTGGCTGCTATACAATCCTGTCTGTGCAACTATCGAATCATGTATCTGGCAAGCACATGGAAGACCATGGGTCAGACGCATAGCACATCCACACCGTTCATGGACCTGGTAACTCAAATCCCGCATCCTTTTCGTCTCGTTATCCAGAACTTTCAAGCAATGTTGAGACACTTTGCCATTTATACGTGACAGTGGCAACTGTCTGTACATCTGACCAATTTTAGACCTTGATGCCTCCAAGTCATTACGAATTTGTATGATGCGATTATCGATATGACAATGGACTCGGGCCCATACGGTATCCAAAGCACCTGCCAGTGATTCTAATTAGTAAATTCAAATACAATTATAATTACAATTATGTAACAACGAGAACAACTAATAAAATAATACAACTAACCTGTGGATGATTCTAACCAAGTTTTCACTACTGAATGTTGACTCTCAACTCTGCAGTTGGTGGTGTTACCAAAATGAAGAACCTGGTTCGTCCAAAATTTCACAAATTTCTCCTTATGACAAAGCCAAGTTCTCTGAACATACTGAATCACTTCCGGATATTTTCCCCACCTCACTTGCATGGCAGTTAGAGCACGATCATACTCCGCCTGTGTTGTTGCATTCACGATTTTGAACCATCTCCCAGCTCTAAAACTGACACCAACCGTCTTGTTTGCAAACATCTTCGTCACCTTAGCCTCCACATCTCTGTTGATGTGCCATAGACAGAGTAAATGTGACGTCCCTGGAAAGACTTCTCTCAAAGCCGCACATAGCCCAAGATCACGGTCTGAAATAAATACAGATGGCTCTTTATCAATCCCAATCAACTCCCTTAATCTCTGCAACACCCACCGATAGCTAGCCGTGCACTCGTCGCGCATGAAAACATATCCAACTAGAAAATTCTGGTTTGTCGGTGTCACGCCTACTAAGAAAGGCATGTTATATCGATTGGTCTTGTAAGTAGAATCCATACCTATGACATGTGGGTATGTGCGGAGTATGTTGACCATGATCGGGTGCACCATAAATGCATGTTGCAAAACGTTGTGATCATCGTTCGTGAACCAGTAAATGTATTTACTCTCTCTCGCCAGATGAAGAAATTGCTGAACAACTCCTCTTCCTTCGGACATTTCCATCCTGAAGTCATTTCGGCAATTGTAAATGTGTCGGATGTTTGGATGATCATCAGGAAATTGCTCGGCAATAGTGGACATGATGTTACGGGGAGCAACCTTGGACTTTGTCATGTCCCGCACAACCTGTTTTGCACCCGGACTCAATCCGCTCACTTTACGGTGACCCTCTGGGTACACAATCATTGGGTGGTTATGTGTCCCGGTGTGATCATTTTTCGCAATGATCTTCCAACTTTCGGTGCTGACATCATAATATATCTTGATGTAGAATGGACAACCATTAGCTTTGGTTTTGGTGTCCTTCCTTATTGCGTTCTCCAAATCTCTCGGCTTGCTCCTTCGTGACCGATCACATCGCAAATACCGATACGTCCGACCATCTCTGGTTTTTGGTATAAGACGATTTCACCAATATAAATCCCAATTTTATGGAAAAACCATCAGCCCATGTAACAGCATCGTCAAATGTAGGGAAAAACGTATCGGTGACAAAATTCTCACTATAATTCACACCGTCACCGCCTTCCTCAGATTCCATATCCTATACAAATTAAACAAAACATGCTTTATGTCAAAATAATAATAATAAAAACAAAAATAATAATAATAATTATAATAAAAATAATAAAAACAATACTACTACTACTACTAATAATAATAATAATAACAATACTAATAACAATACTAATAATAATAACAACAAATACAAAACAATAACAATATTAATGATAATAAAAAATTATAACAACAACTACAAAACAATTTATAAGACCATAACATTAATTAATAAATAAAAAATAATAATAATAACAATAATAATAATAATAATATTAAAATTAAAATTATATTTCTACTAATTAATAATAACAATATCAACAACAACAATAAAAATAACAACAACAACAATAATAATATCAACTACAACAACAACAACAATAATATCAACGTATTACTAATAATAACAATAATAATAATAATAATAATGAAACAAAAAATAAACATATTACTAATAATCATATTAATACAACAAAATTACATTAATTATCAAATACTAAATCACAACAATAATCACAAGACCACGAAAAAAAAATACATAAAAAAAAAAAACTTAATAAACATAAAAAATTAAATAAACGTACTTAACATTTTTAAAAAAAAATTAATAGGGACATCCGCCTAAAATTTCCGGATGTACCATGGAACATCCGGATTTTTTAGGCGGATCCCATCTTCCGCTTGAAATTTCCGGATGTTCCATGGTACATCCGGAAATTTTAGGCGGATGTACCTAGGACATCCGGAAATTTTAGGCGGATGTCCTAATTACCGAAAATAAAAAAAAAAACTTACAGAATGATCCGACGCATTCTCCGGCGTACGTATGTTCCACTCGCCGTCCATGGCCCAAGACCCGTCGGAAAATTTAACGATTTTTGAAAATAGAAAATTTAGGTGGTTGTGGGGACCGATTTGGTTGCAAGGTCGTGGGGACCGATTTTGGGAAGCTCGGGACAGCAATGTCGTGAAGTGAGGGGACCGTTTCATGTATTGTGTCCAAATGGGGAACAAGGTCATTTTTATAACCCAAATTGCATAAAGGGCATAGTGGTCCATTCAAGTTAAAAAGGGAGCGTTACCTGGTAATTTGGGAGCGACAAATAGCAGTGGAGTAGTGTGAAATCTCGTGTGCTCTAATCTTGAAATTGTTAAGTATGTGGCCAGGTGAAGATAATTATCAGATTAGCTGATTACACGTCATATGTGATAAGAAATTTTTTTTATAAGGTAATACACGTCATATTTGATTGGGATTTGAATTTCCAGCTGGAAAATAAAAATAGAACATTAACTAGGATTTTATTGCCTTTTACTGAAGTAGTACAGTCTGAAACTGCTATGTGTCCTTAAAAAAAAAATAATGCTACTCCGTATGTTCTTGCACATTAATTTATGGTTCAAAAATTACTAATGACTTTAATATACTTTGTATTACGGCAAAAATTATTACAAAGTACCGAGTATATTTTTTATTGAAAATGAGCCATAAAAAAAAACTGCTGTAGGTTTTTAAAAATTATTTTTACTTGTATTTGACAGCTCTTTGAGAGAAATCATATAGTAAAGGAGCTAGTAATCATATCTGGAGTTAATATAAAATTTACGTAATTACGTCTTCCTTTTTCTCCCTCCAATCTTTTTTAATAAAGTATTTTCCTATATTTTCTGTGTGTAATTTGAGGACAACAAGGACTCAATGCCAAAAATTATGGGGTTGTTTTTTCTTAATTTGTTTATTAAATTTAAAAGAAATATACATTGGTTTCTAAAAATCTAGAGATCCTGATTATCCCCAAATGACCTGGTCTCCTAGCTTTTCTCCTTCCCATCCACCAACTCCAAATTTTTTTTTTTTTCCAAATGGAAATTAAGTTGACAAGTGAGGAAAAATAATTTGGAAAAAAAGGAAAAATAAAATAAACATTTTATATTAAAAAAAATCCTTCAAGTAAAAAACTTTTTTAGCAAAATCTTTGAAATAATTATTTTATTATTTATTCAAAACATAAGTTGGCTCCCACCTTCTTTTCCCCCTCCTCTTTCTTTCTCTCTCCAGCATTGCATTGTCAATGTTTGGTTGAATATCTTGAACAAAGAATAAAAAGGGTGATCAAATTAGGAGAAAATCAAAGGTAATAAGTTTGGCATTTTTGGTCTCATCTCTTTTTTGTATGATAAAATGAGATGATTGATGATAACATAAAATGAACAGCCCTGCTTTGTAAGGGAGGGTGGGTTTTTTTTTTTTTTTTTTTTTTTTCCCTCATCCTTTTCATTTTTGAAACTTTCAATTTCGTTTTTACAATTTCACATGCATGGATGCTGGAAATTCTTCCTGGAGTAGGCTGAAATAGATGGTGTTTGATTCGGAAAATCGTCGGGAATAAGTCATCGTTGTTACATGTTGTTTGGCAAAAAATCAAGGGAAAACATGAGCAGTGGCGCGTCATCACCAGATCAGAAGAAATCAGGGTGTGGGCTGCTGGGGGCTGTTTTTGGAGGAACAAAAAAGTTTTGGCCTAGAAGAACTACGTCAACGGGTTCCCTTCCTAGCCAACATGGTAGCCTCAATGACGTAGACAGCCCCAAGAGAATTCCGAGTGTTGGCCACAATTCCAAGAAGAGACGAGGCAGTTTTGATGACCTTGATGCTAACAGCAGCGTCTCCTCTCAACCTTCCTCTAGCCGCGGTGGCCCTAAACCTCAACAAAAATGCCCTCCTGTTCGATTGCAACAGCAGCAACATCAGCAGCAACAGCAACAGCAACATCATGTTAGAAGACCATCCTCAAATGACACAAGTGTAGTGCAAGCTTCAAGAAGCCTGACACCAACACAGAATCAGAATCGAAGTAATGGTCATAATACAAAGAAGATGCCTCCAAAGGAAGCATTGGGGATATCCGGTGAGTTAGAGATGATGATAGCCGAGCACCAGAAGGGTAGAGGAGGTATTAATCTTGTCCGAGCTTCATCTGGCAATGTGATGGTCCATAGTAGTTTAGGTAACTTGAGGCAGCCTGGGGGATCCCCTTATACATATACAAAACCAGCCTCCAATGGCAAGCCAGAAGAACATCAAGCACCTAAAAATGTTATAAACTTTTCATCAAAATATTCGAATAGTGGGATGGGGAACATTGTGAACAAGAAGCAGATAGAAAACGGGGAGAAAGCAACAGGTGGGACTTCTCTATGTCGAGCATTGTCTTGTAGGATGGACCCTGAGGAGTTAAAGATATTGGGGAATGAAGATTATAAGAATGGCAACTTTGCAGAAGCCTTAGCTTTGTATGAGCGAGCCATTGATTTGGACCCCTCCAAGGCTTCCTACAGGAGTAATAAGAGTGCTGCTTTGACAGCCCTAGGGCGGCTTCTTGAGGCTGTTTTTGAGTGCAGAGAAGCCATTGTTATAGAGCCCAATTACCACAGGGCTCACCATCGTTTGGCTAATCTTTATCTAAGGTACATAATTACAATGTCACTTTATTCACCGAACTACATCAGCCATAAGATTGGTTCTATTCTACTCTTGGATATGTTTTCATGTAAAAACCTGTACGATTTTTTTCAGATTAGGAGAAGCAGAAAAGGCTACTTATCACTTCAAACGAGCCGGGCCAGAAGCCGACCCAGATACAATGAGTAAAGCAAAGCTTGTTCTAGGACACATGAAGAAGTGTGAGGAGGCTAAGAGGTTGAAGGATTGGCACACCGTGCTCAGAGAATCTGGGAATACCATAGCTGCAGGAGCAGATTCTGCACCTATGGTTAGTATCTTTTGCATTGTGTGACTAGTTATTTGTTCAACATAAGCGTAATATATACAAATTTCAAATACTGCTATTTAAGTTATTGACATTGCTGATGTTTTTTTGTTTACTTGAACAAAGATATTTGCGTTACAAGCTGAGGCATATCTAAAGCTCCATCGGCCTCAAGATGCCGTAACAACATGGGAAAACGGTCCAGATTTTGATATGGATCAGTGTACTAAGTTCTATGGCTCTGCAGGGAATGCTATGTTATTGTTGATCAGGGCTCAGGTTGACATGGTTGCAGGAAGGTTAGTCTGTCCCATTAAAAAATATTGTCAAATCTTGATTGTCGTTTTTTGTTTCCCTCTTCAGGCATTGCTAGTATATAAGTAAATGTAATTACAAACGAGGGGTAAAAGAATGATTTAATTTAACCATAAAAGTCAATTAGTAGCATTAATTAGTTGATAGCATGATGATTTTGCTAAAAATGTACTGTAAGACAGCTCAAAATGTTGGTTGAAGATAGGGGGTTAACTGTACATTACTCTAGTAATCCCAACCAATTACACCAACTATGCTTTTAAAAACTGCTTTAGGTGAATTCGTCGTGTGCATTATTTCTTATTTAATGTGTTCTACTTACAAACTTGTCAACCAAGATTAGCAAGCTTCTAATTCAAAATAAATAAATAAATTCGTCATTGTCAAATCATTTTTTTTCTTTTGATAGTGCATTAGTGCTGTAGAACTTTCTGTCATACTGGGGGCGGTTAATCTTTGTTACTATTGTTTTAATCCAATATTCACTCCTGTCCTAATCTTAGATATTGTTAACTTAAATAAACATCCAGTCATGTCTTACCATTTGCGTGCTGATATACTATTCTTTTGCTTTTCTTTTTTTGAGATTATTTACTCTCTAGTCCACCACTATACCAAGAAGTTAATTTCACTGATTCTTTTCTAAGTTAAGTAAAAAGTCTAATAGTGTGCCATTTTTATGATATATAAGCAGGGCCTACAATCATGCTTGGCTATGGTTGGACTCTTTGCAAATTAATCTTAATTGACTATTCTTATTGAACACTTGTTAAAGAATGGCTCTCATGTTATGTGACATGTATGATCTAAGCTCTCCTGATAACCTTGAAGGATCAAACTTTTAGTTATAATGTCATATTAGGTTGTGGGCACAAACTCAAAATTTCTCATTTCTGTGGAATTTTGTCATTATTTTAATGTTTCATAATACAGCCTGATTTGGCTGTTAATACAGGCACACGACAAGTTTTTCTTCATTTCTGAATTCAGACTGTATTTATGGGAAATTCTTAATCTTCATAGTGTAAGAAAGAGTAGTTTTTAAACTCTTAAAGGGGATTGCAGGTTTGATGATGCAATGGAAGCAATTCAACATGCAGGTAGATTAGACCCGTCCAACAGAGAGGTGGGTGTAGTGACTCGAAGGGCTCGAGCTGTGTCCAATGCTCGAGCTCGTGGGAATGACTTGTTCAAAGAGGGCAGGTTCTCAGAAGCTTGTGTTGCTTATGGTCAAGGACTTGAGCATGACCCACAAAATTCAGTCTTGCTTTGCAACCGAGCAGCTTGTCGTGCCAAACTCAGGCAGTTTGAGAAAGCAATAGAGGACTGTACTGCTGCACTTAACGCACGTCCCTCTTATACCAAGGCTAGACTAAGAAGAGCCGACTGTAATATCAAGGTATATGGTTTTTCTTTTCTGATGCAATCCCATTAGAGTGCTAGTTAACTATGCTTCCTTTTTTTTTTAATGTTATGTTCAAGAATAATGAAAAAGTAGCAAATGTTTGCATACTTTCGTCCACTTTTTACTTTCAGCAATCCTTTTTATTGATTGTCTTCCTTTGGGCATAAAAACTGTTCTAGATTAGTTTGGGAAAGGCTCTTTCCTGGCAATCCCTTAACTGGTTGCTATTGTCGTTTATCCTTAATAGATGATGCATACTACCTGTTTTGTTTTAACACTTGCCTGATTAGTTGAATAATTGACACATTGAAGAAGAATAATGCTCACGTAATCCAGTCATATGGAATTTACCATGTTTCATTCCAACACAAGAAGACATCTTTTTGGTGTTTGAGTACTTGAGTGTTACATATCAAAGGACAAAGGCTGTGCATACATGATTAAATTTTGTTTTCTGCAAATATTGTCAGTTGCAAAAATGGGAAGCTGCTGTAAGGGATTATGAAATCCTATTCCAAGAATCACCGGGAGACGAGGACATGGCAAAGGCGTTTTTTAAGGTAGAGGTGCAGCTCAAGAAACAGCAGGGAGAAGATGTGTCAAACTTGAAATTTGGAAATGACAGTCTAGTTAAAATCCAAAGTGACGAACACTTCAAAAGTGTGACATCCTGGCCTGGTTGGTAAACTAACTATTATTTAGTGTTCCTGATTATATATTGAAGTTCATAATATATGCTTAACAATTTGTATATATGATGGATCATTATGCAGGTCTTTCAGTGGCCTTGTTCTGCAATAAGCCAGGCGAGAGACAAACACTGCAATTCATTGAACAACTCTGCAAGATATACCAAACCGTAAAATTTCTCAAGGTCGGTCTCAAATTTTGATTGGTTGATGTTACTCTTTTGAAACTTAGGGCCAAGTCAGACACTCAGTTTTTATTAGTTAAAGTATGCGCCCATATAGGCCATATTGCACAAACTGCCAATGATCATCTGAATTTCAATCTTTGCTTTACATTCAGGTCGAAGTTGAAGATTACCAAAGCTTGGTGAAATCCGAGGTTGTTGGCTCATTGCCAGCCTTCAAGATATACCAAAGTGGTTCGAGGGTTAAAGAAATCCGTGGAGAAGAGCATGAGTCCTTAGAGTGCTCAATCAAAGAGTATACAAGCTAGCATACATGAGAAAAGCATTGTAGAGAAAGTTCGTCATTCTTTCATTAATTTATAATTTTTCTTTTTTTCTGGCTATATTATAGTGCCTGGTTGGAGTGTCAAGAAAAGTTTAGTTTCTTAAGATACAGCTTTCCATGACTAGGGTAACAAATATGGCAGGAAGGAAAAGAAAGGAGGGAACTGCAGGGCAATCTGAATCATTTTGTTTCAATTTAGATTTGATCCTGTTAATTTGCCAGCTTACACAGCAAATATCTGTATCAGTTCATTTTGTGGGATGACTTTTGCAGAAAATAAAAAAGATATACTTTGTGAACTCCATGTATTTTGTAAGATGAAGTTTAGGGTAAAGTGTAAAACCATCTTATATTAATCATATTGCGAGACACAGAATGTCACGAGTGCTCTTATAAAAAGTAATTCCTAAAGGAATTAGAAGGCGGGATTAGTATGATTTAAAAATGGCAAAACTTAGTATGAGGCGGTCTTATAAAAACCTAACATGAGACATGTTGACAAAAGAATAATACGAAGTAATTTGTATAGAACTTACCCATGGGCCATGGTGTTCAATCTTCATTGAGTCTCTATTGTCATTTTCTAATGGGTCTGGACTCTGGGCTAGAGCAACCATAGGCCATAAGAATTGGATAGTGAAGTTTTTGATGGTTATGTAGATATTGTAATGCCAAGTGCCAAGAAAAGATTGAAGGGTTACTACTAAAGTACTAATACAAGTATAAATTATGACATTATGTCCTTTACTTGTATAATATCCTGGATTTGATGTGAAATTTCATCCTTTTCGGTCAGTTTTTTGTAAAAAATCATGGATCGTTGCTCATTAAAAATTTTAGATGGATACTGATATCAATAACCATCTTGAATTCTTGATCGTGATAGGCTGATTGGTTACTTGCCTAATTTCCAAACAGAATTTGATTACATTATATTGGACTAAATTACTTTGTTTTGTAGTTGAATTGCACTCTTCATGTAATAACTTCAGATATTGTAAGGCTTACCACTTCTCGCACTCTTATGTGTTCCTTCGTATGACCGGTATGACGCGTATCTATTTATCTAATTATTACTCGTAGATTACAAGAGTTGTTCAGAGTTCAGAGTTCAGACTACAGATTAGTTCACCAGTTCATACTCCTAAGTCGTTATAGATGAAACAACAATCTGAGGCATCCTCACTGTTGAACAAGAATTCGTAAAATGGACTTAAAACTTTATTACGGAGTATATTAGTCCCACCATTATACAATTACTTGAATTAAAGTTTTGTCCGACCCATTTTCCGCTTCTCTTCAAGCTAACAAATCAGACAATTGATCATGTTTTTCAATGGACCCATTCCTATTACACTATTAGTCAAAGATACATCATGATTAACCTGAGTTGTCACTTGAGATGATCCACCTCATTTTATTTGTTTTCGCCAAATTTATCATTGTTCTTGGATAGTTGGATGTAGTAGTTAACCTGATTTCAGATGTGAAATGTCAATACTCAATTACTCTGTTTTAACTTGCTTAATTACACATTGTCTAATCAAGTTTGGTTGTTCAATCTTAAAGATAAAATCAATAATCTTAAAAATACATCAAAATAGACGACAAATTTGAATAGAAGCAGCAAGTAACATGGTAAGTCTTTCCAACTATACAACATTTTTTTTTTTTTTTTTTTTTGACCCATCCAACTATACAACATTATAATGAAATCAAGCAAATAATCAACAAATTCACACAAAAACCCCTCAACAAAACTTTTATTAATATCACAAATAACTTACAAAACCAAGTTAATCTTACCTCAAACTCTCAATCTCATCACAAACCACAAATCTTATTCAAGATGAAGCAACAGATCTCAAAGCAGGAACAACAGCTTGGTTAGACAAAGAAACAGGACAATAATTTCTAGTAGCAGAAAGTTCATAAGGATAAGAATCAGATTTAAGCCATTGCTCAACATCAAACTTCTGTTGTGCGCACTTAACATGGGGCCCAGTAGTTGTAACCTCAACATAGTTACAGTACCAACCATGGTGTGGGCCCGACCCATCGGAGATCACCCTCATGCCACAAACTGGTGCATTCAGACATGGGCCGCGCCCACTGAACACGTCCAAGTTACCCCTCTCGAAGTAGTCGTAGTTTTGGCCCATTAGCCCGCCCCAGCTTTGGATGTCGGTAATTCTAACTCCGTCGCCTTTTTGACCCCACAATTCGAGGCTGATCTTAGAGTCCGTCCCTGCTTTTATGACGGAACCTGTCCTGACGTATATGGTGTACACGCATTCTGATTCGTCGCCAGCCTGTTGTGCAAAAGAAATGAATTTAATTTTTGATTAGAAATGTTTTGGAGAAATTTATCAAATGTAAAATGTGTGATTGGATTTAGACTTACCGATACAGATCGAGCGATCAGAGCTAAGGATAAGAAGATTATTGCGTTTAACAACGCAGGGTTTCTCGCCATTGTTGCTGATGAGTGTTGGCTGTTAATTTCTCTCTCTTCGTTGGTGGGAATAGAGGTGCGATTGATGTTATTTTGATGGATCAGTTTTAGCTCCTTGTGATATGGATACTGACGGGTTAATTATAGCACCTTTTATTATTTAGTGGGATATTGTGTTTTCGTGATAATTGCAACACTTTAATAAGGAGAATAGATCTTTTCTAATTTTATTGTTTTTTTAATGTTGGACCTAGATAATTGGTAGAGAACCGATCAAAATAATAAAGTACTCCAGTATTTTTATATAATCGGAAATAAAAGAGACATTGTTTTCGCACCTCATAATTAAATATGCTACTTCGTATTCATTTTACTCAAATTGCATTCAGTTAAAGTTAATATTTTGCAAATTGCATTTATTTTAAAAAAATTGCAAATTGCAGCCCAAAAATTCTTATAAATCCTAAATTGTAGTCCGATTCAATTTTTTCATCAGGTTATGTGTCGAAAAAATATTCGGTTAAGCTGTTAAAGGTCATTTTACTTCTAAAAGTTCCGAATTGAGCTCAGAATCAGCAGAAAAATAACGTAAGTGTCTCGTTTATACATCAAAAAATAGTTTCCCACATATCGATATATTTTTGTTACGCAAAACGAGGTACTTATGTTATTTTTTTGCAAATTCCGAGCACATTTCGTAACCTTGAAAACTAAAATGGCCGCTAAAATATTGGCCGAATATTTTTTGACATGTAAAACGATGAAAAAATTGAATTAAAATACAATTTACAATTTACAAAATACAAACTTTAAATGGATGCAATTAACACATTTTCTCTTAAATTATTGTCTTGTTAACAAATGCATCACTGTCAACATGTTTTCTTTCTTTTTAAAACTTTTAGTGAGGACAAAAGAACTACACAAATGGTAAATAACAAAAGAAATGTGTATTACAATTTTTCCAACCCCAATTTGTTGGGTTAAGATAAGTGTAAATGATACTCTTTCCATCTCTAATATTTACACCAATTGTAGAAACAAATCAATTACACCAAAGAAGATATGCCTATTACAGTTTTTCTCTATTTGGTGGGTTAAGTATATAATGATACTCCCTCCATCCCTATACCTTATCTTATTTAACTTTTTACGGTTTCAAAACACGTTTTTAAACAACTGTTTTTATAACAATAATACTACGTGTCAATAGAGATGGTAAACGACGAAGGGAATCTGAACAAATCAGTAGAAAGGCCGGCATCATCACGTGAGAGCTGACACGAGTATTACAATTATTATTTGAGACTATCCTCTAATTATAATTAGTACTCGTATTAAATAAAATAGTCATGCTCACCATGATTATCTACTCTATTAATAAGAAAGATCTCGATCCAAATAGGATCATGTGGATCACACATTCACATGAAGAGATTTGTCTGAATGAAAGAAGACAAGTCTACTACAATTAGCATCCAAACAAACAATGGAAACCATTCAAACCAATTACCAAGTCAAATAAGTCATACATCGTGCTTTAGAAATTAGAATTGTACATAACTTTAATTCATAAAATAGGCAACATTGTGAAATTTTGATTTGGCCTTAGCTTTAGGAGGCATTGAAAAAACTATTATCAAGCAATATACTACTTCTATTTCATATTATTTACAACGATTTAACATAAACTAGAGAGAAAAAATATCTAATCGTCGCAAATAATATGAAATTGAGGTAGTATGACTAAGTCCAAATGAACTTACTGCAGAGTGAAAATGGAAAGGCATAGGAGGATGGTTAAGTTGGAGAGGATGTGTTTGGTTGTCATTTGGTATGGTGGATCTTCAGTAAATTATAAGCCCATATCTGATATGGTTCATACCAATACTTTTTTTGTTTTTTGCTTATGATAAATATACTGTAATTGTTAATTTTATACTATTATTTTTTTATTCTATACTGTTATTATTTCAGCGAGATTTTCGACGAAGAAAGAGGGTAAAGAAAAGAGTGTAGTTTTTATTATACTATTATTATTAATTTTATTATGTTAATTGATTTTTACTGTTTTTGTTCCTTAGTATAGACCATACCTGATAGCGGCCCATCACTCCTTGTGGATCTTGATTCGCAAGTTGAAGAATGACTTATTTAAGGGAAACGCTCTGATTACTACTGTTTTATCTATTGGATACTTTGTATTACTTATTCTTTGTACTGCCTTTTTTTCAATAGCGTTTTATCATTTGAGGTTGAACGATATATGTGTTTTGGCTTATCAATAGTATATTAAGTACAGCTGTTAATTCGGGTAAACGAGTCGAGTTTGGATAGGGTAAGAGTGGGTCGGGTCAATTCAGATTAATTCCATAACATAAGAGAGTCGGGTTTGGGTTGGTTCATGCTTGAGTCGGGTCACGTCGGGTCATACTTCTTATTGGGTTTGGGTCGGGTTTAGGTTGGGTTACATTCGGGTCAGGTGAACAATAGGCCAAGTTTAATTCGGGTTTTCACAGGTTGAAACGGGTTAGGGTAATTCTCAAGTTCGAGTCGGGTTCGGTTCAAGTCAATAATTTGCGGGTTAGAATCAGGTTGGGTCATTCTCGGGTTTGAGTCGGGTTCAGTTCAAGTCAATAATTTGCGGGTTATAATCAGGTAGGGTCATTTTCAAGTCGGGTCAATCTCGGGTTCAAGTCGGGTTCGGTTCAAGTCAATAATTTTCAAGTTATAATCAGGTTGGGTCATTTCCAAGTCGGGTCATTCTCGGATTCAAGTCGGGTTATGTTCAAGTAAAAAATTTGCAGGTTACAATCAGGTCGGGTCATTTTCAAGTCAGGTCATATTCGGGCTCAACTAACTATAAATAGATAATTATCATTTTTATCAAGCTAATTATTTCCTTTGACTATAATATATATGGCAATATACTAGGGAACTGTAGTCTATAATTTAAGATGATAATTATCTCCTTTGACCATACAACAAATATACACTATATTTAACTCTTAAATTTGAGGATGACGCTCCTTTCATTTGCTAGCCTGGACCGACTAGGTCTCCCAAGAAAAATACTTTGATCGACAATAATAAGGCATGATCTAAATTGCATTTAAGGTGATTTGAAATTGGGTCAGGAACAATTTGGGTTGAATTTAGGTCGGATCAATAACAAGTCGTGTTAATTTCTAGTCGGGTTAGTAACAGATCGGGTTGAATTTTTGGGTTGGGTAAGTAATAGGTATGGTAAAATTTGGGTTGGGTCAATAACAAATTGGGTTAAATTTGGGTCAAGTTAATAAAAAGTCGGGTTGATTTTGGGTCGGTTTGTAACAGGTTGGGTTAAATTCGGGTCAGGTTATTAGGAACAGGTCGGGTTGAATTCAGGTCAGGTTAGTTACAAGTCTGGATAAATTCAGGTTTTGACAGGTTAAAACGGGTTTGGGTCAATTTCGTTTCAAGTCGGGTTCGATGCTAGTTAATTAAATTGACCGTTGTAAACCGGTAAATCGTGGAAGTTGTATACCAGTAAATTGGGAGTTTAAAAGCAAATTGAATGGATCCACATACCCAATTGGACCCCCGAAGGGTATTAGGGACCATGGTAAACATTTCAACAATTTTTATTTTCGGACAAAAAAAATGTCAAAAAATTCTAAAATTGAAGGCTAATATATCCACACTTTTTGAGAAATTTTTGAGGTTTCGGGGCCCTATTTCGAAAAGTCTTGAAATTCTATGAGATACATTTCGGGGTCATATAATGCCGTTTGTAACCATCTATGATCATTATTTGTTGTCATAAATGTTCGTGGTAGACTTGAATTAATAAAATCTTTGCAAGTTGCAAACCGGTAAATTGGTCGTTTAAAGGCAAATTGGATGGTTTCACCCATTCAATTGGACCCTCGGAGAGTATTAGGGAATATTATAAACAAAAGCAAAAACAATCTCAAAATTGAAGGCTAATATTCACGCACTTTGAGAATTTTTGGAGTCTTCATTGCCCGGTTTCGAAAATTCTAGGAAATACATCTAAGGGTCATATAATGTCGTTTGGAACCATATATGATCATTATTTGTTGTCATAAATATTCATGGTATGCTTGAATTAATGAAATCGGTGTAAGTTGTAAACTAGTAAATTGATCGTTTAAAAATAAATTGGATGGTTCCACCCACCCAATTGGACTCCCGGAGGGTATTAGAGACCACGATAAACATTTCATAAATTTTTATTTTCGGGCAAAAAAAAAGTCAAAAAATCCCAAAATCCACGCTTTTTGAGAAATTTTGGAGGTTTCGGAACCCAGTGTCAAAAAGTCTTGAAATTCTATGGGATACATATCGGGGTCATTTAATGCCGTTTGGAACCTTATATATATGATAATTATTTGTTCTCATAAATGTTCGTGGTTGGCTTGAATTAATGAAATCGGTGCAAGTTGTAAACCGGTAAATTGGTCGTTAAAGGAAAATTGGATGGTTCCACCCACCCAATTGGACTTCCGAAGGGTATTTGGGACCATAGTAAAAATTTCGGAAATTTTTATATCCAGGTGAAAAAAAAGTCAAAAAATTCCAAAATTGAAAGCTAATATCCACGTTTATTGAGAATTTTTGGAGTCTCAGGGCCTGGTTTCGAAAATTCTTGAAATTTTAGGGATTACATCTCGGGGTCATATAATGTCATTTGAAACCATATATGATCATTATTTGTTGTCAATAATGTTCATGGCAGGCTTGAATTAATGAAATCAGTGTAACTTGTAAACCGGTAAATTGATCGTTTAAAGGAAAATTGGTTGGTTCCACCCACCCAATTGGACTCTTGTAGGGTATTAGGGACCATAGTAAACATTTCGCCAATTTTTATTTCCGGGCGAAGAAAAGTAAAAAAATTCCCAAAATTTATATCCACGCTTTTTGAGAATTTTTGGAGTATTCAAGGTCTGGTTTCGAAAATTCTTGAAATTCAAGGGAATAAATCTTGGGATCATATAATGCCATTTGAAATAATATATGATTATTATTTGTTTTCATAAATGCTCGTGGTAAGCTTAAATTAATGAAATCAGTGTAAGTTGTAAAATACTAAATTGGTCGTTAAAGGTAAATTGGATAGTTCCACCCACCCAATTGAACTCCTGGAGGG